GTCCTCTCCAATGGACCAGGACGACCAAAATGCTGCTCAGTTTTTCCTTGCCATGTTTCCTGAACTACACGATGATTCTGTTGAATGTCAAAAGCGGGATTCCCAAATTCTGCGAAATTTGCCGCTGACTTATTCCACTATCTGTTTGACCAACTATCCTTCCTCTAACAAAATCTGACAATTTGAGAGAACCTTGAATTCTAGGCATGTTGTAGCACAAGATAGTTAGTGTGCGTACCATTTTCATTTATATAGTGCTCTGTGAACACAAACTAGTTAGCATAAATCAGATAAATGATGAAAAATTAGGTATCTATTTACTTGTGACCACTCAGTGTATATCTAACATTTTTCTTTGTTTCTTGTTAAGCACAAAGTTACAGAAAATGCTCTCGGACTTATCACTGAGCTACCAGTATTGGTATAGATGTGTTTGTGTGAGCTACCAGTATTGGTATTGTAGATGTGTTTGTGTGAGCTACCAGTGTTGGTATTGTAGATGTGTGTGTGTGTGTGAGCTACCAGTGTTGGTATTGTAGATGAGTTTGTGTGAGCTACCAGTGTTGGTATTGTAGATGTGTTTGTGTGAGCTACCAGTGTTGGTCTTGTAGATGTGTTTGTGTGAGCTACCAGTGTTGGTATTGTAGATGAGTTTGTGTGAGCTACCAGTATTGGTATTGTAGATGAGTTTGTGTGAGCTTCCAGTGTTGGTATTGTAGATGAGTTTTTGTATTTTATCTTTGTTCTCAGCTAGGTAATAGAAGACACTTATATTTTATTTTTGTTCTCAACTAGGTAATAGAAGACACTTATATTTTATCTTTGTTCTCAACTAGGTAATAGAAGACACTTATATTTTATCTTTGTACTCAACTAGGTAATAGAAGACACTTATATTTTATCTTTGTACTCAACTAGGTAATATAAGACACTTATATTTTATCTTTGTACTCAACTAGGTAATATAAGACACTTATATTTTATCTTTGTTCTCAACTAGGTAATAGAAGACACTTATATTTTATCTTTGTTCTCAACTAGGTAATAGAAGACTTATATTTTAGCTTTGTTCTCGACCAGGTAATATAAGACACTTGTATTTTATCTTTGTTCTCAACTAGGTAATATAAGACACTTATATTTTATCTTTATTCTCAACTAGGTAATATAAGACACTTGTATTTTATCTTTGTACTCAACTAAGTAATAGAAGACACTTATATTTTATCTTTGTACTCAACTAGGTAATATAAGACACTTATATTTTATCTTTGTACTCAACTAGGTAATATAAGACACTTATATTTTATCTTTGTACTCAACTAGGTAATATAAGACACTTATATTTTATCTTTGTTCTCAACTAGGTAATGGAAGACACTTATATTTTATCTTTGTTCTCAACTAGGTAGTAGAAGACACTTATATTTTATCTTTGTACTCAACTAGGTAATAGAAGACACTTATATTTTATCTTTGTACTCAACTAGGTAATAGAAGACACTTATATTTTATCTTTGTTCTCAACCAGGTAATAGAAGACACTTATATTTTATCTTTGTTCTCAACCAGGTAATAGAAGACACTTATATTTTATCTTTGTTCTCAACCAGGTAATAGAAGACACTTATATTTTATCTTTGTTCTCAACCAGGTAATAGAAGACTTATATTTTATCTTTGTTCTCAACTAGGTAATAGAAGACTTATATTTTATCTTTGTACTCAACTAAGTAATAGAAGACACTTATATTTTATCTTTGTTCTCAACCAGGTAATAGAAGACACTTGTATTTTATATTTGTACTCAACTAGGTAATATAAGACACTTGTATTTTATCTTTGTTCTCAACTAGGTAATATAAGACACTTATATTTTATCTTTGTACTCAACTAGGTAATAGAAGACACTTATATTTTAGCTTTGTTCTCAACTAGGTAATAGAAGACACTTATATTTTATCTTTGTTCTCAACTAGGTAGTAGAAGACACTTGTATTTTATCTTTGTTCTCAACCAGGTAATATAAGACACTTGTATTTTATCTTTGTTCTCAACTAAGTAAAGAAGACACTTATATTTTATCTTTGTTCTCAACTAGGTAATAGAAGACACTTATATTTTATCTTTGTTCTCAACCAGGTAATAGAAGACTTATATTTTAGCTTTGTTCTCAACTAGGTAATAGAAGACTTATATTTTAGCTTTGTTCTCAACTAGGTAAAGAAGACACTTATATTTTATCTTTGTTCTCAACTAGGTAATATAAGACACTTATATTTTATCTTTGTTCTCAACTAGGTAATAGAAAACTTATATTCTATCTTTGTTCTCAACTAGGTAAAGAAGACACTTATATTTTATCTTTGTTCTCAACTAGG